GAGATTTATTGTTGTTTCGGAAAAAAAAACTCCAAATCATCAACTACTTACACACTTGCCGACCTAAACTTTTTATCCGAACATGATGCAGACGTTAAAAACATCACGGTTGATTAAAATATGGCGCTAGAAGCAGGCTTATCGCTATCCATCATCCGCCTTCCATGTTCTCTCCATTATCTAAACAACGTACAAAAAGAGTGGAAAATTAAACGGAAATAATGTGTACGTAAACACGTTATAATGTGAAATAAGTTAATTGTAAGCGTGCGCTACTCGGTTCGGCTAATAAATAACATTCGTGATGGATGGTTTTTGAGGCGTTGCCGTTACTAGCGAAACGAATAATTTTCATCAACAAAACACATATTATAATTAATTTGCTATAATAACAATTTAAAGGAATAAGGGAAATGTAACAAATAGGTAAATAATGAAATATAAGTGGGCGAGTCTATTCTAATTAAGATCTCCTGAATTAATTAATTATAAGCTTCATTCAGAACATTGGTGGAATAAACTAGTGGTTTCAATTAGCGTAGAATAAGTTTGCTCCTTTAATTTTAATGTAATCATTCAGAACGGCAAAATTAGTAGTAGTCATTTTCAATTAGTAGAAAAAGTTATCAAACTTTTAACTTTTCCACTCATTTATTCTTCAAGATTTGCGAGAAATGTCATTTTGGCCTTTGATTATCTTCCGTCAAAAGAAAATGTGGTTAGAAATCAAGAGTTGATTGTTTTATAAGCTAAATATTTGGTTTTCTCCACGGATACAACTGAACCAAGCTGTATTCTATTAATTTTAATTGTGTTTTTTAAACATTGTGAATGATCGTAAACTAAAAATCATAAAGTGTAATTGAAACCACTAATTTATTCCACTAATTGCGAGGTTCTGAATGAAGCTTTAACAAACTTTTGACTTTTGGCACTAATTACCCTTCAAAATTTGCGAGTAACGTCATTTTGGCGTTTGACTATCATCCTCCAAGAGAAATTGTGCTTAGAAAAAGACGGTTGATTGTTTTATAAGCTAATTATTAGTTATTAGACTTAGAACACTACAGCAAGCTGTTTCTAGGATATTCTATTAATTTTAATTGTATTTTGTTAGACTTTGTGAATCATTGTAAAGCCTTAAGTATAAAGTATAATGGAAACCACTAATTTAGGGGCGGCCATAACAGTCTTTCTGACGAGGAGTAAGGGGAAAAACACCACCTATCTGCTGAGCCTTATCTAAGGTCAGAACAATGTAAGGTCATCGAGTTGGCAAGTCATCAACTCGAGGGAGGAGGGTCATGGTCAGGTCCTCACAATAGGAATTGACCTCAAATCCAAGGAGGCAATAGAGAAAGAGGGACATATCCTCTATTATAGATACGGGACAACACCGGTATCAGGTCTAAGGAGAGACCAAGTTAAAGAGGTGGAGAAAATGGAGACAGATCCTCCAGCCTCCACCTCACGGGTTCCTCAGCCGGAGGCAAGCTCCTCGACTGTGAAGAGCGGCACGGAGGGCCAAACTCCAACCATGGAAGTACCAAGAACCAAGTGTACCCTCGGAGGAAGAACTGTTGTCAGAGGAAGATGGGAAATACCCTGTCCCCTCTTTAACCTGCGTATAATGGGTTATAGATTGTTTGATGACTCAAGGAAGGGGGGCACAATAGATCTTTAAGGTCGCAGTGATTAACAATTACTGCGACTTAACCCTCTCTTACTCATTCTACATTCTACAACCACTAATTTATTTCACTAATCTCGAGGTTCTGAATGAAGCCTTATTGATTGTATATTATCAATTTATTAATGTAATGTTTATATTATTACAATTGTTATAATCATAAATATACTTCGTATTTTTTTGAATAATATAAACTGCAATTGAAAGAAACCTTAAACGTTAGTACCTTGATAGTCCTTTTCTAGGATTTAATATGCTTTTTCTTCATGTCTTTGGTTTTCTCTCACATTTACTTTCATCACTTTCTAGTTTTCTCCTGTCTTTTATCGATTGGTTTTGCGTATCAATGAGGGGTAACCCTTGTTGTTTTAATTAATTATTAGAAACTTCATAACTTTTCTTGGAAATCAATTTTCAAATTCAATGTCAATTTTTCTATACATACCGGGAGAGTCCCAAAAGTGGCTCACCCCTATAACTTTTTTAATAGTTAAAATTAGTTAAAAAAACGAGATTTGGTTTGATAGTATATGACATAAATTTGGTTTGGTATGTTAGTATATGACATAAATTAGGATTGATTGACGTATTCATTTGTTGTCGGTCACTTCCGGTTTCACCGGAAATGACTACAACTTTTGATTATTAAATGACACCCCCGGTATTTTTTTACTTTATTCGATAGAAAATGTCACTCTAAATAGAATGACATCATATGTCAACTTTCGAGATTTTCGCATATGGTTTATTTGAAATTATAACTTGCCGTTCGTAACGAAAATTTGACTCGAAATACCAAGTGTGTGGTATCAAATTATTCGTAGAAAAAATGCTTTTTCCAAATATGCTAATGAGCCACCCTCGTTCTATTTGAAAAAATTGAGATATGATTAAAAATACGATTTGAGCATTTTCTAGCTTGCCAGGACAAGACACTAATAACATTAGACGATCAAATCTATTTTTCCAAGACTCCTTCATGAAGAATTAGTGTTTTTAACATAGTCATGGCACTCTAGATTGAATTTTAAAATACAATTTTTGATTAAGCGAGAATGTAAAAAGTTGATATATGATATGTCATTCTATTCAGAATGTCATTTTCTATCGAATAAAGTAAAAAATACCGAGGGTGTCATTTAAAAATCAAAAGTTATAGTCATTTCCGGTGAAACAGGAAGTGGCCAAAAACAGTTGAATACACCAATCAATCCTAATTTATGTCATATACTAACATATCAAATGTTTTATTTGAAAAAATAAAAAAGTTATAGGGGTGAGCCACTTTTGAGACGCACCCGGTATATACCAATATCTTCATGTTGTTCCTATTGACATGTTACTCGATGCCATCTCTAATAGTTTTGTTTATTCGTTTCTAGTAGCCAACAGATCATATTTTTTTGGCTATAAATGTTACTCACTATTTAATATTTCAAAATATCCACCTTCTGTTACGATTATACATTTATTCCCTTCCTTTACCCATAATATTTCCACAACTCTTTCCCCCTTTACCCTTAACATTCCTTCAAAGTAGGATGTGATAGATAAATACATATAAAACACCGTTGAAGTTCTTATACTTAGAAACAACCCATTAAGTTCATAAAAGCAGCCTGCCATACTCGATCTAAAAAACAATCTAAAGCTGATTGCAGAATCTGTGTTATTTACCACAAGTGTACTACAGTATTGCCCCAGAAAATAAGTCCAATATTTGAACCAACGTAGCGTTTGTTTTGGTTTTATTAATATTTGTAATTGACTAGCCGTGTAAAATTCATTATTAGAAATGTGTAATTTTGTTAAGAAAAATTAAAACACAATACGTAGTAGAATATGTGGATGGTGATGAATCTTAAACGGAGCAGAGTATGCTGAGAATATCTGTCTGTGCTTAGCTTTTAAATAAACGAAGAAATTATATCCGCACATTTCTAACATCTACAGCTGTCATGTAATGCTTTTTTTCCTTCAAGTTTTTCTATTCTTTAAAGGTTTTCATTTAAGTACCGATAATTCCATTAACACCAATATAAACATAAAAACTCCAAGAGAATAAAAATATCTGAAAATCAATTTTCGAACTAAAAGAAGCTGTTCCTCTTGTTAACTAGGTTTATGGTATTCGCACGACGCCGGTCAATGTATCTCCATAAATCTCCACCCTAAGACTTGCTCTATAGCGTTATCGATATCTGTGTATTTAGCCGAGAGCTGATAAACGGCTCTCGGAAATTTATTCACTCTTTGTTGTTAATTCCTGTTTGTTCGGGAACGCTAGCGCTAGCAGGGCCGCTGCTCTGCCATTGCTGCGATAACTTACTCGCAGGTGAAACGGAATACGACGACCGAATTGGAGAGACGACAAATTATTACGGAGGTTCGGGTGTTCCAAATATTAATTACTAGAATCAATATTTTTAACTCTAATGCTATCTTAGTAGTTAAAATTTAGCCACAATAGCACTACACCAATACCATATTACTACAAAAAAATTGTGTGCGCACTATGTGTGCATATTTGAAATGAAACTTCTTACTTCCGTTTATCTGTCTGTCCGTCTGAGGACTCCATTCGGGTACCTCCTATCCACGTGCCGAGTTTGGTTCCAATCGACGATGAAGTCGTCAATTTAGAGGCATTGCTTCGTAACGTCGAGGGCGTCATCCTGTAGCCCATCCCCAATTATGCCGAAATCGACACACATTGTTCTTCAATATCAACTTGTTAGTGCCATCCTGATGATGATATAAACGAAACGCCGCGCGTCGTATCCAACTTTGCAGAGTGGGACCATATGCACCGTCTCTAACATCAAAAAGCCTACCCACCAAATTTGGTTGCGATCAGACGACATCAACTTTTGACGTTTCTTACGTCAAAACTTGATGTCGACTGTCACAGTGACACGTGTTATACACGGTCAAATTGGCCTTGGTCCAAATTTCATTTAAATCGGACGATTTTTTTATTTGATTCATTGATCGGGTTGTGTCGCAGGAAAAGATGGGGCTCTTTGAGCTCTAGTTCACATAGGACCCATTAAATCGGACAATTTTGCATCATTGATTCATGGGTTTCATAGTAGTGCGCCAAACGTCATTTCTCATGTAAATTCACATATAAAATGAGAGCGATCTTAATTTTATAGCCATCGAAAGCTCTGTTATTATTCTATCATACGGTATTTTCAGCCCACGAGAGATTAAAGTACCTACACTAATATAAAAGTCTTTGTGACACAATCACAGATGATTGACTGTTGTAGATCTGATAAGTACTTACTATTTTTTTTCTTTGCAGGAAGCAGATGGCCAAAAAACAAATAACGGTATTCAATACAGATTGCAACTTCTTTTCGCAAATGGTAAGTTCCTTATCTTTTATTATTCTTTATGATTTCTTTGTTTCAAATATCTTGAAACCGTTTTCAAGATATTTGGAATGGAAATAGTCAATACATTTTTATCATAGTTTACATTATTGACAAAAAATTGGCGGCGGGAGGCACGTATAGCCGCCCATACTTGATATTTTTTTTATCTCAAAAGCTGCGACTTTGACTGATTTTGATGTTATTACAAATTTTGAAAAAAAATCTTAAATTGAAAACCGCGTTTCGCTAGCTACTGTAATTTTGGAGTTACGATTTTTTAAAATTTTTAACCCCCTTCCATACCCCCTGATCAAACCAAAAATAATGATCGGATCCTCGGGTGCCACAGTATTTTTGTGCCAAATTTGGTTAAAATCGGTTTAGCGGTTTTTGAGTTATCGTGTTACAGACGGAAAGACAGACAGACAAACAGACAGAGAGACAGACACCATGAAAATATTTTGTATTTAGGTCATTTATGACCCAAATAACTCATTTTGAGTGAAATTAAAAAAACTTCTTTTTGGCGATCTTAATAGCCTTATCTTATTATCATACCTGTTGGTATGGTCAGCTAAAATTGAACATGTTGACTAGATAGTTATTTGACTGAAATGATAAATTTGGGTATTTTATATTTTTTTAAGCTTATCTAAACACCCAGGCACCAATTTTCATCTAAATATCGGCGTTAACTGAGAAATTATTTGGAAAAAAATTAAATAAAAATGATACTTCTACACCGTGTATCTCCGAAACGAAGCATTTTAGGACATAAATTTATACAAACTATTTTACTTATTTTATCTGTAGTTATAATGCAGAAGTTTCCGGAATACATTAGCGACCACCCTGTATATTGCATACCGTCTTCAACTATTGCTATTCTAAAGAGTCAATTGCATAAATGAAAATCATCGATTTAATGTTTTTCTCGTCACGAAAAATTTAGAACAAACTTTCTGCCACAAAATTTACTAAGACTGCAGTAGTTTTCGATGTAAGTTTAGTTTAAACGACTCACACAGTAACTTACGTCCCTCTATCGTCGACACGGTAAATTAACGGAAGTTGTCCGGTCCAGACGGTGGTGGAGTATGTCTTTACCGACCGCGCGAGTCTCGAGGAACTGACCGGCGCGACCGCCAATTAGTTTGGCCAAACCGCAAAACGTCTTGGTCACTCTCTCAGGAGAGGAACGAGATTTGTTTCGTAGCATGATGGCGGTTGGTGGCTGGAAAATTAATCAGTTTAATCCGATAGCTGGACTTGGTTTTAGATATACGGGTTAACGGTGGTGCAAAAAATAATTTGGCGAAGTATTCCTTCAAAGTAATCTACTATTAAAAATAATGTGTCTCGGAAAATATTGAGATTTTATTAATTAATTATGAAACAATGGTGGTTGACATTTTGATGAGTTTCATTTCAAACAACTTATCTCCTCTGCAGTGTGGTGCATGCTTTAGATGTAGATGTAAGTTGTACGGGTGGGGGTAAGTTAATCATCGCGACCTTATAGATCTATTGTGTTCCCGTTTCTTGAATTATAACTCAACATATAGTCTCAGAACTTTACTTTGAGAAAAGCCAATATCTGATACTTAGTTCTCCATCTCCGAAATCAGTCGTTCTAAAGATTATGGCACAAATGGTTGTCGTCATGGCACGCCCAGTAATGAGATGTTCTAGTGTTTCCCCATTTTCCTCACAGAATCTGCATTCGCCGTTGTTTCTTAGTTTCATTCTACTGAACTATTCATTGAGGGGACAGTGTCTTGTTAAAAACTCCTTGATAATCCGAAGCATTGGTACAGCCCTTAGCTAAATTTTTTAATTGTCTATTGAGTTAGCATTGTTGGAACGCCGTTTTTTTTCGATCATACGCTATCTAAGTTGCCTTCTTAGCCAACGTGTTAGGTATTGAGGATAATAGGCTAAAAATTACTTATTGAGTTATTCTTTTAAAATACTAGACTAATAATTAATTGGTCTTTATATCGCCATTTATATCAACATTTTTATATCGACAAGAACAAAACAATTAAATGTGACAAAAATAGTTTATAGTTATTGAAACATTTTGAACTTACGGTGCTAGAACAATTTTTGTACCAGAATTGGACACACGTCCTCATCTTCAAGTAACTCTCTCTTCTTCTTCAAGTACCGTCTCCTAACAGGGTTGGCTATCATCATGGCTATTTTTATTTTATTTGCGGCTGCTCTAAATCATTTAATGTCATTCCATACCATTCTCTGAGGTTCTTCAGCCAGTATGTTCGTCTTCTGCCCCGACTACCTCCTTCTTGGATTTTTCCTTCCATAATATTCTGAAGTAATTGATATATAGGACCTCGTATAACATGTGCAAAATATTCTAATTTTTTCCTCCTAAGGGTTTTATGTATTCCTGCTTCCTTATTCATACGGCGTAACACCTCGATATATGTAACTCTGTCGACCCACGAAATCCGTAACATGCGACGATAACACCCACCTTTCTAAATACAATAAGGTCGAAAACACGTAGCATCGGTGCATTCTTATTTTTAAATATAAGTTTATATCTCTACTGCAAAGAAATTTCTTTAGTTTTAAAAAAGAATTTCTGGCTATCTCAATACTGGTCTTTATTTCTTGCAATTGTTCGGCAGTTTCGTTTCTTACTGTGCCCAAAGTATTTGTTTTCTATTTATATCTTGATATTGAAGCATTTACATTTTGGTCTTTTGTTATAATCATGAATTTTGCTCGGAATGTTGTTTTCTTCAAATTCATATTCAGCCCATATTATTTGCAGGAGACATTTATTCTTTGAAGAAGGTTCTGCAGATCTTCACTATTGCCTGTCATTACTACTGCATCGTCAGCCTATCTGATATTGTTGATTCGTTGACCATTCACTTTGATTCACGCATCCCCCTCTTCCAAAGCTTCTTGAAAGATGGCCTCACTATATATATTGAGAAGCAGGGGAGACAAGATGCGTCCCTGACGCACACCTCGCTGTATTTGTATATTTTCAGAAAAATCATTATCTAATCTGATCTTAATGTTAGTCCTCAATAAAGGTTTGCTATCAATCTTATGTTATGTATTTTATCACTCTCATTTTTACTCAAATCTATCATAAATTATTTTTAAAAAATCTTTCTATAATTTACATTAATTACGTACCATTAACTAAATAATGCTAACTATGAATCTTTTTTCTCTAAACAATTTATTATCCAGGAACCGTAATATATAAACAGAAAAGCATGTAAAAAAAGGAAAATGTTATTCAGTCTGCCCTCTTTATAATTCAATACGCGTATCGGCTATCGTACGCATTTTCTTTATGAAAGAACCCGGTGGACGGACGGTCGGGTCGCTTCTAAAGTGTAAATGATCTTTTTCTATCATCACTGGAATGGCATAGAATGCCCAGCCGTCAATAGACGTAATTTATAATTGGTATAGCATTTAGTAAGACTAAATAATTAATTGCTGTCGAGAGAGTATAAAAGAAAGACAGAAGGAGAAAGTATCCAATGTTGAGTCAAGTAAAAGCATAAGCGGACTGGTTGATGCAAATAGATTCTTGAAAGGAACACGAATGTTTGCTTTTCTCGATCTGTATGACTTGTAGAGGTTTTTAAAGAAGGAGCATCAGGGATATATTCTAATGGTTTTACTGTCTTTTTCTTGCGATTGTTGATGTTCTAATAATTTTAATATTCGAGTTGGGTTTGTGATCTTTGGTATTACAACAGCACAATAGAACAGTAATTCACCACAATTCACCAAAACACTTTACTTTTAAACAGTGGACGCGCGTCTTGATAACTATGTAAGCATCATCAGCATAAGATTAAAACTAAAAAAATTAAGATCTTTAAAACAATGTTAATCATCTGCCGATGATGCCAACATAGTTAGCAAAACGCGCGTCCAGTGTCTAAAAGAAAAATATTTTGGTGAATTTACTGTATTGATATCTTATTTTGCTTTTGATAAATTTTCACATGTGGGATTTTATTTCAAAAGTTACTGAGACAAACAAAATTCGTGTATGTCGCTTTAGGCCTTCTTCACAATAATGATGAATTAAATGGCAAGCGCTATTTATCCTCTAGAAAAAGAGACGACGTTATAATAATAAAAATATGACCCTAGCTAACTTACTAGCTAAAGTAAACAGCAGTACAATTATTAATGCCAAATTGCACCAACAATTTAGGAATATCTTAAGTTAAATTTCGTGTCCAGTAATACTTAGAAGGCAAAATTGACTTGCACAACTAGAAAATGTGAAAGATTTCTTAAGTAGAAAACCTTAAGGAATATTCATTTAGATGGCTAATTCTAATCCTTTAGTTTTAAGTAGCCACTTAACATATATTTGTTTTTTTCTTTCCCTGCTTGTTGCTATTTTTGTGTTTTTCTGAAGGGTTTTTGGCAAACCAAAATTATATGGAACTATGTTTTGATGATTTAGATATATTGGAATCTGTTTCTCTGCAGTCGTGTATTTGGGAGTCCCTCCTCCAAGATATTTGCAACTGATTTTTTTTGTTTCATCACAAAATACAGATACTATCATCGTCGTCATCATTTTCAGCTTATTCAACCATTTCTAATTATGGTGTAGCCTCCCTCACATATTTAGATACTCTCTTTGTAGTTGGGCCCATTGTTGTCTATTGTCGGCTATGCGGGCCCAAGTTATCCCTGCTAATTTCCTAATATACCATCTCAGGTTCGGTTTTCTTCTAGGTCTCTTAATTCCTCGTGGGTACCATGCAGTAATTTTTGTGGTCCATCTGTTGTCCGCCTTCTTGCCGATTGCGACTTGAGGAATTTGACTCTGTGGATGACATCTATTACCAACTGGTTTTTTTGTCGTATCCACTCTATTCTTTTACGGTCTCTCTTGGTTATTCCCAGCTTTTTTTTGTTCCATTGAGCGTTGTGCGACCTGCAGTTTCCTTATGCTTGTTTTAAAT